GAAACATAACACTCCTAGATCATTGCCATAGATGAATATATTTAATGCCTCTGAATCTTAGAATATTCACTCGATTTTCTTTAGTAATTTCGTTTTCTGAACTTCGACTCTTAATTTTTTTTTGTCGTAATGCACTAAAATATCGATCACTATAGAAAGTAAAGATCATACTCCAGCGATGATTATTTTTTTTTTCCTGTTCTGTTGCCAATGGGGAGAGAAGCTTATTGTATCCCGTAATGTTAGCGTCAGGGAAGAGGTGATACACGTTTTTTTTTATATATATCACAATATATCTCAATTTATGCATTAATTAAGTTACTTTGGGGAAATTAATTCATCTCATTAGTGTGTGTGTGTGTGTGTGTGTGTGCGTAACCTAACCTTGGGGCTTAATTACAGGTAAGAGGACGAACAGTGTTTATGTGTTCTCGGTAACCTCTTCAGTCATCTCAGATTAAATACAGTTATGAATTTGCACACACACACACACACACACACACACACACATATATATATATATATATATATATATCAAGAAGCGCTCAACACACTGACCCTCTCGGCTCTCACTGACCATTACCACGACCTCATCTGCAAATTTGGTGAGAAGCTTCTACACCATTCTCGACACTGGCTCCTACTACCACCTGAGATCCCTCTCCCGAGAATTGCTGTTCGACACCACAACCGCATCCAGCCCATACGAGCACGAACTGATCGCTATGAGAACAGCCCATTCCCAACCATTATAAAAATTATCAATAACTTGTAATAAACCAGTGTATTCACTCCCAGTAAATACTACTTCTTGCACTGTCACTATGTTGATATGCCCTGTAGTTTGAGCTTCTTCCCACCTAGTTATTTTATATCATATTTGTATGACCTATGTTACTTGTATATTATTTGTAAATCAAGAGACCCATTCCCCAGCCTTCCGGCTGCTATGCTCTTTCAATAAATCGTTAATTATTATTATTATTATTATTATTATTATTATTATTATTATTATTATTATTATTATTATTATTACACACACTCAAAACAAAAAATAATAACATTTCATTTTTTATTTTCAAGGAGATTATGGTTGTAATTTTTATTTGGATTTTAATATAAATAAACATTGACTCCGTAACAACAAGGAAGTGTGATCATAAAATAGGTGGAAAACATTCATTCACAGTGGCTGTATCTCTCTGTTGAACATTCTGCAACAGCTGAGTGAGGGTTAACATATCTCGCTGTGAATATGTTTGATTTTATGGTTATAACATTGCTAGTTGCCAGTCAGTATTTACCTGTAAGGATTTTTACACCTGTTGGTCGGGTCGGCTCGGCTCGGGTCGGCTCGGCTCGGGTCGGCTCGGCTCGGCTCGGCTCGGCTCGGGGTTGCTCGGCTCGGGTCGGCTCGAATCAGAACGGGTCGGGTCAACACCACAATGATCGGGACTTTAACCTTGTGTCTTGGGTTAATGACGTCGAGGCTGCATATAATATTTTTTTCTTCAGTGTTAATATAATCATTAGGTCATCATCAACATTTATTACCTCTTCTGACATACACTTCAACCCATACTACTTTTGTTTGTACTGACGAACTTCCTCACTTGTATATGATCAGCTGCAGCCATTATTAACAAAAGCTTCATGTTTGAGTGTTTATTAATGTGCAGTTGAAAGTGCCTCTTTACTTCACGGGAGACGCACTCCTTTACCTTTACGAGAAACGTGTTTATTTGGGCATCAGATGTGGTCCCTAGACAATACAAGTATCATTAATTAACCCTCTTAGCTTCCCATCTGCTTCAGACTGCGAGAACTTCATTTGTAAACACCATAAACTTTACGTCCATGCTGTCTTTAACATCAACACGTCACTGAGGCAATGAGAGTATATTATGTTGGCTATATTACGTTCTTCCTCAGGTATAATATCAATAGAGTATAGATTTATCAGTGGTTTTGTCGTTCCATCTATGTAAACTTTCTGCTGCCCCAATTTGACCCGTCCTTGTCCGCTTACTGTCAAACCTTATATTGGATTCTGATGTCTCGTAGCACGGATTAACACCCAGAACTTAGCTTAGTAAATCTTTAAAAAGCTCAACAAAATCCACAACACAGACACAAATCTTCATAGGATTCTTTCACGTCCTGTAATTCGAAACTAAATCCCTTTATTATCACCAGATAGTTGAGGCTTTCAATATCTCCTAAATTGTATCTTTGTCCAATGGAAAAGCGAACAACGAGTATCAGTATTGCTTTCCTGAGATACAAAGTGCGTGACTTCAGTAGATCTTGAGGTTGCTGCAGCTGTCGTTCCTCCCCCCACCCACCCATCCCCTCTGTGAGTGAGCTTATCAAGGAAGACATTAACACCGTCATCGGCTGAGTCTTCACACCTGCTCAGAGCTCTTTAGAAGAAAAACAACATAAATTTATCTTCTTTTTTTTTAATTTGGGAAACTAGAGGAGGTTTTTAAAGCTCCTTATAAACCTATAATTTGGACTCAGATTATACGGGCTAAAGTATCCAGTGTAGATAACGTATCTTTCTTTCTTTCTTTCTTGCTTTCTTTCTTTCTATCTACCTAAACAAACTCTCATCTTTGTTCTTTACCTTGACTCCCTCTGTCCAACTCTCTTCTTTAATGAGGTGGAATTAAGTTATGATCACGTAAAGTCATCCATCATGTTGCCGGATCATCTCTGCCATGATTGGTGACTCAGGATGGCCGACAGATGAATAATGTTCCCTCTCTCTCAACACCCTGTGACTGTCTGTTGTTTTTTGGGTGGTCGTGGCCTCTGTCACTTGTAGAGGTATCATTTGTCCTCGTTCCTCATGTTACCTCCATAACCCGTCCATCATGTTAGCTTCATAACCCCGTCCATCATATTAACTTTACAGCCCCGTCCATCATGTTAGCTTCATACCCCGTCCACCATGTTAGGTTCATAACCCCGTTCACCATGTTAGCTTCATAACCCCGTCCACAGTTTATTTTTACCAGGAAATAGGAAGAAAAGGTCTTTGTAGGGTCGTGTGCTTCAACCTTTTCGCTCTGTTTGTTAGTTCAATTGTCTGTCCGTATTTCCGTCTACTGTATTTTATTATCCCTCTAAAGTAAGTACAGTAGTAGCTGTTAATCTAGTGCTGGGTAATGACAGCAATAGAGGGAATAACATGATATCTGTGTACCTAGAATACATATTTGATGAAACTGACACACACACACACACACACACACACACACATGCGCAACCATTGACTTGTTTGAATTAAAAACCAATATTTATGGCCTAAACTGGGGTATGAAAAATGACGGATCAATGATGGGATACTTTCATCAACTAATATTAAAAACACGTATGTTAGTGGGGGATTTATGTTCGCTTTTGAGAGAGCAGCTGTTTGACAGGCGGGTAAAGCTGCTTGACCGGCGGGTAAGGCTGCTTGACGGGCGGGTAAAGCTGCTTGACCGGCGGGTAAGGCTGCTTGACAGGCGGTGAAGCTGCTTGACAGGCGGGTGAAGCTGCTTGACAGGCGGGTGAAAGCAATGTCAAGGTCGTGCTGGCTATTATTACAGTTATTGTAGCTTTTCTTTGTGTTCGTCAGTGTTACTCGGTCCCTTAAACTCTGCGCAAATAATTTACCTAAATTCATAGAGAGAGAGAGATCAGCAGACAGTTGAGTTAGTTCCTCTTATATATATTAACGTTAAATTAAGACATATACATGTATAATTATATTAATATGAGTTTGTCACCTAGGCAGCTGTAATATCGTCATTTTCAAAGTCAGGATTTTTTTCTTTTTTACAACATGTACCACAGAAGGGCACTAATTATCCACCCATAACTACGCCTAGTGCTGTTCTTAGCATTATTGTAGTCAAGAAATACACAAAGTACCTGGAAGGCTTTACTTCAACTCATTTTATCAAAGGACAATTATTTTTTTCGTGGGAACGTTTGTCTCTCTCGCTTTGAAAAATATTACCATCAAAAAACCGGAAACTAAAGACGTAGTTTATTTACCTTATTAAGTCTGTGTTAACCAGTTGATACAGTAAGTTACTATCCAGAAAATAACTCGACTTATCAGTTTATAGGACGAAACCTTACCGACGAGTGTTGTGGTGCATAATGGCGTACCGTACCGTATAAAACATCTCTTCCCGACGACAGAGCAGCCACCGTGCCTCTGTATGCTGGAGGAGCTTAGTGTGACCAGAACTCATGTCTTCACACTTCACTGAGGAGGGAGAAAAAAAAGAGCATTAATGAAATTCCATGACTTTAAATGCACAAGACTTTCATGGAGTGGGACCAAACACACACACACACACACACACACACACACACACACACACACCTGGACGCCTGCCGTATCTAGGTCGACCTCCGGAGAAGCGGTAGGAGACAGTAGAGGAAATTCTTCAACAAATTCAACCTTAACAGAAATATTTAAGGACCAAAATGTATACCAGGCATATTTTAAAGGTTGAATAATATGACCTTAAATATATTAGTTTGTGGAGAAGATACACGAAGAATACGCGTTTAACACCGCCAGTGAGCAGGAGGAAGGGGAGAGGGGGTATAAATGGAATAATCAATAAATAAACAGATAACTAAACGGATACAATAATGACGAAATTTCAAGAATATATTTGATTTACATTTGTGTACAGGAAGAGATACAGTATTCCTCAGAGAAGGTGAGAATTTGTTTCAGTAAGATATTTTGTATAAATTGTGTCAGAGGCTGTGAGTCTACTTCAGTATTTGTAGTTTGGTTTAATGGTTTATACCTGAGAGCACAATGACATAATTTACTGTGTTTGAGCTTGAATATTCACTGTGGAATAATTATTGTATATTTTACTGTATTTACTGTCTAATTATCTTTAAATATGTATATAACTAATGATGATATATAGAATAATAATTGAAGTAACTAATGATGTTTTTTCTTCTCTTTTCAGTGGTGCAGCTCTTGTCGAAACGCTGCCTAAGACGAGAACTAGGTCTGGCTAGCAGGCTACCAAGGTACTTCAGTTCCTCTCGTCGCCTCAATGATTCCATCCTTCCTGAACAAGTTTTTTGCTGAGGGCATTTACAACGAACCCAAGGATTCGTTTCAAGAGTGTACAAATATCACCAACGACACCACCCACCACAAGCAGCACTACCATTTTTAAACAAGCAAGCAGGATTCACTGTATCCTTAATACACTGCAAGAGCAGCCTAGTATTTTCAAAGTTTATGAGAACTTTTAATACTCAGTAGTATAGTTATTAACCCACATCTCCTTGAATGTAACTCGCCTCATTTGGTACCTGATGGTCAAAGGACTAGGTGCTGATGTATTAAAGAAGAAGAAGAAAAATAGTTCAAGATTGTACTCTAGAAAACAAGTCAAGTGAGACTGTAGTCCTTTAATACAACTCCTCAGTCTGGGTCTCGCACCAGTCCACAAACATTACACCAGTCACTACAAACAGATGACCAGTCAAAAAACTATGTAGTTTCATCCAGTTTACCATAAAGTATTTTACCAATTTACCGCGAACTATCCCACAGTCTCCCGTTGACTAACCATCAAAGCTGCCACAAAGTATCAAAAAGTCAACCACAGAATCTCCAAACAAACAAAAACAACCATTAGTTACGTAAACTCTCCAGACCTGAGTCTCACAAGTGCGTGTACTACAAGTAAACCTCTCGAGCCAAGACAGAGTCACCGAGGTCGACATTAAAGCGACTCTGTATTGTACAAGAAATAGTTGTGACGTTGAATGTGTGGTGACTGCTGCTAGGGGGAGCTCGATGGCGCAGTTGTGGGTGTTAAGTCTTGCAGGTCTAGCCATCCTGTGTCACCTCCCACCCTGGACACGGGCCCACCAGTTCCTCAGAGGTAAGTGTCGCATACTTCTCTTTGTTCCTTCTGCTATTTCTCTCACTCTCACCTGTGTTGTGTCTGGCTACTGCTAGTGGCGTCGTAGCCAACCAGCGGACAGATACTTATGGCCGCAATGTTCTTAGTTGTATACACGTGAAGTAAGAAGCAAGTCCACAGCTCTTAACTGCTCTGCCTATATCCTATTTATTATTATTATTATAATTTTTATATGTCAGACAATCATCACTTAATGCATTAGTCAAAGGCTTAGGACTCATTTCAGATTAGACTTTACAGAAAGCTGATTATGCTGTGAAATTTTGTGATGAATTCCGAGTGTAAAGGCAACTGAATTTTATACAATCCATTGGCAATCTATTGTTTGTAAATTGAAAATCAACGACCACTATTAACATTAAGTGATCAGCCTGGCACATGTCCGATTCAGCCCCTGATTCAAGGCACGTCATTACATTTCCAATTTGACTATTTCTCTCCAAAGGTAATTAGGCAACATATAGCTAACAACGCAATTAAGTGGTTAAATTAAAGATGAATATAGTAATGTTGGAAAGTTAATAACACCTAGAAGAGCTGACGGTCATAATATGTTGACTTTTTACGGCATTGTGTATGGGGTACAGACTTACCTGGTGTTGGGGTTACCTTTCGTCACCTGGGTACTACACTATATCTCGGTCTTATTATTTATCTCTCACCCGTCACCTGCCTCACCTCACTCCTACCTTTTCCTCTGGGTGCTATAATCCCTGTAATACCAGTGTTGTTAGCTCTCTCTCTCTCTCTCTCTCTCTCTCTCTCTCTCCTCCACTGATCGCAAGAGATACATGTAATTTCACTCATTCTAACTCTCAAGCATTGACCTGACCTAACCTGACCTATTTATTCTTCTGCCGGGACATTTTTGGTTTTCTTTCCTTTAGATAGATAGATCACTGGGTCATGCAATAATTGTTTTAGTAACGCTTTCTCTTTACTGCTAAACTCTTCACCTTCTCACACCTTTACAATCAACAACAACCTAACTCTAACCTAACCCTAATATAAAACAAGTCTCCCACCATCACAAATAATAATAATGATTAGTAGTCTTCTCTGATGTTCGTGATTTTCCTCTATTGCTATTCTGGGTCATTGAGGACAACTTTCCATGGCTTGAGAAGCTTTTATTTATTAACTCAATATGTTCACCAGATTTTTTTTCGTATCTGTTAAAGAAAAGATTTTGTAACTGAGTGATAAAGTTAATCAGTAAACTTCCTTCCTCCTTACCTGAGTCAACTCTTGGACCTGCGGGAGTGGCAGCAGTAGGCGGAGTTAACTAGCGCTGCACTGCGCCAACGTGCATAGGCCGGTAGCTTCTGCTGCTGCTCTCTCTGACCTTGATTCAGTGCTACCTGCTATCAATTCTCTTTAGGAATTTGATGTTTATTTGCTTTTGTTTGTACGTATTATTATTGTTGTTGTTGTTGTTGTTGTTGTTCTTCTTCTTCTTCTTCTTCTTCTCCTTATTATTATTATTATTATTATTATTATTATTATTATTATTATTATTATTATTATTGTTGTTGTTGTTATGGGAAACAAAATACCGTTTATGGCTGTTCATCAACATCATCATGAGAGTTAACTGATACAGTAGTCTAATATCTCTCTCTCTCAACTATAAAGATATACAGGGTGTCCATAAATAACTACCCTGATTAAAACGTGAGAGCATACTGTTTTTAGGGTAATCATTTATGGACACCCTGTAGGTTATTTCAAATGTGGTTTATTGTGTAAAAAGTCAGGTACCCATTCCCAGCTGGGTGGACTGTAGGGCTAGAAGTCTTAGGTCCAAATGGCGACTCTTAGAACAGCAAGCCAGCACTGTGTCCTCTCTGTCACAGTAGTTTCTTGATTAAAAACAAAACAAAACATAAAACCTTAATTCACCTGAAACACCTGTTAAAAATAAATTAAAACACACCTGTGAAGAAAGTAACTGTAACATAAAAGTGTTTGTTAATAATTCATAAAAGTTGTCATTTAGATAAGGGTAAATATTTTGAGTCTGGTTTTTAATGTTTTGTGTGGAACCTGAAAACATTCTTGGGTGTTGTGAGTGTGAGAATACCGAGTCACTCTTATCACACTCGTCAATATCATACAAGAATGAACTAAATGTAACAATGTGATTAAAATGTGATAATAAATTTGTTTATATTCACCTGTAAATCTAATATCACTCTGGCTTTAAAGGTGTTATGTTACTCTGATACACACACACACACACACACATATATATATATATATATATATATATATATATATATATATATATATATATATATATATATATATATATATATATATATATATATATATATATATATATATATACAGGTAATTGGTAATATATTTAAAGTTTGGTATTATGTTTACGGGTTTGTTAGTTATAGTGTTCTATATATATACTGTTCTAGCCAAGGTGTGGAAAGTGGGAACCTTGAGTGGATGTTACCTGTAAGATGGCTTACTACTTCATCATCTTTTTTTAATCTTATAAACGATTACCAAAAGTCAATCATTACTCAAAGACTAAAAATAGGTAAACTCCTCAGACCAGGTAACGTAACTAAGATAACTCAGGTATAGGGAAGGAAAACATTACTGCACCACAAACTCTCTTTTTGGCTACTACTAATTTGAGGGAAATATCCTGTGATTAAAGACAGGATATATGTATAGTTATCATGCGGGTGTTGAGAACAATGTGATAAGTCATGACAAATACATGTGTGGGTGGATGGGTGTAGGTGTGGCGGGTGTGGGTGGATGGGTGTAGGTGTGGCGGGTGTGGTGGATGGTGGGGTGTGGCGGGTGTGGGTGGATGGGTGTGTATTGTTATGTGTCGTGGGGGAGAGGTGATTATTGTGATGGTAGTCGTAGTAATGACGGTCACTACATTCGATTAAGACTTAGACTATGTTAAGTATCGTATTAGATATAAACTCTTCTATACTGTTCTTTAATAAACTCTATTACATATCAATGAAGGATCATCATATATTAAGACTAATCATGAGTAAATAGCGACAGAAAAGCCTGCAGGTGCTTAAGCTCATTAATTACGTAAATTTAAACCTTCACTAAACTTTGGGTAAATGAGTTAATTGCATAAAGAAGGCGATGAACAGAAGAGCGAAGATGATAAAAACTTGAAAGACTAAGAATTGAGATGAAGGAACAGGGAGAGAGATTCAATATGTGTGGGCTGTAGGGGTGAGTAGTGTCTTGCTGTGTGAAGTAAAAGAGGTAACTTCTCCCCTCCACAACCAGGAGAGTCGTCAGCATCTCTCCTGTGTTACGGGTGATGAAATAATCCAGCGTTATGAGTTTTAAGCACGAAGTTGAATGTTATGTATATCAACAGTGGGAATGACAGATAGATTTGGTAGAAGGGAAGCATTAAAGGGAGAGACAAACACACGCATAGACTGAGAGAAGAGAGAAGTTGTTAAACGAGTCTGATTTTGAGTTGTAAGAGAGAACATTGTCTAGTCTGGGTTGTGAAAAGATATAACTAAAATAAAAAGCCGAAGGAAGATGATAGAAAAGTGGTACTAATCTTGAGTTAATGTAAAAAGCAGTAGATCAAGTTTAACTGAGAATAATTGAAGGTGAACAGTGTGGTGACTCTTGCATACCTACAGATATTTCAGTAATTGATTGTTATTATTATTTTTTTTTGTTTTAGAGAGAGAAAGAGAGGTGAGGGGGTGGGTGGGCGAGTGAGCTATTGTATTGATCGTGGTTAGTTGGTTGGTTGGTTGGTTGGTCGGGTAGGAAGACATATGTCACGTCGAGAACGATGGTTCGTGGTCACATGCTAACAATCTTGGGAGTTCCGCTTGGAAATTCCCCCACCAACCAGAGGTGTTCTGACTCACCCCCAGGCTATGAATGCTACCTGGAGTTGACTGCCATGTGATACCAATCTATTTATTTACTTGTGTTATTTTTTGTTGTGTGTGTGTGTGTGTGTGTGTGTGTGTGTGTGTGTGTGTGTGTGTGTGTGTGTGTGTGTGTGTGTGTGTGGTAGCGATACAACTAACCCGGTCACGTGTGGCTCTGAGTCTCTTATTTTTCGAGGCGGAAGACCGTCCGTCGATATCAATAGAGATCTGTTGAGATGGTTTCATAGTTCTGATAGATGTGAGGACCTGACTGTCTCGACCTCTCAATGGAGGAGAGTGGGATGTGTTGGATGGTTTTGAGCGCCTCTCCTGTGGTCTGGTTATTACCTGAGTGGTGTCTGTTATTAAAGATTTCGGTGGCTTTCTCCTCACTTGTTTTTAAAATTTTTGTCGCGAGTGGTGAGCTGCTGTTGTTGCTTGTACTTGGTGTGTTATCTCCCTAATGTCTGTGGTGGCGCCAGATTCTGAGTGATGTTTTCCGAAGAGTTTGAGGAGTTACAAGATGTAATGTATCCCAGACATTCGGTGGGTATGGGCGTGGGTCAGCCAGGGTAGTCTATGCTCTTCTGAAATGTCCTCCAAGAAGTCGTGACCTTTCCATATGTGACAAGTGTTATGATGTGTTGCCAAGGAAGCCGCGGTGGTCCAGAGACGCTAACACACCAATGATTAACTTAAAGACATTGTCTCGGGTGTGTTCATCTTGTGTCTCCTTAAATGCTCTGGAAAATGTCACACATCCTGGCGTCAAATAGTCATGAAAATAATGTTGGACAAACTGATACATTGATACATGACCTATGAAACGTTATTAAAGGTGTGTATAATGTAACGTTATTATCGAATGTCATGTAATCAACGAATATGCTACACAAACATAACCTTGGTAGTGAGAGATTCTAAGTTACAGAGGAGTGACACGACATTGTGGACACCAAGTACAGTGAATAGACTGACTGACAGCTTAAACTCCGGGCTAATCCTCGACACTGCACTGAACATCACACACGACCTAATTAAACAAAGATTTGA